CGATCAATAGGGATAACTTACTACTGATTAATTACCACAGTCAAATAACAATTGACAATTTGCAGACAATCTTATTTTGCACCTTCAACTGACATCTCATATATAGTACAACAAAAGACATTATTAAAATATAATTTACACATCTAAAGACGAGAAGCAGGTAGGTTTACAGCATGATAAATTCAGAAAATTCAATTATCAAACAAAAAATAAAACGTCGTGATTGTGGTTTTAGAAAGTATTAGCTCCTTACGAAACTCCTCATGCAATAGAAGATGGTGTTGCTTACTATATGTGGTCAGTGTTCAGCCAAACAAACGAGGGTCTTATGAAACGAGATGGCACCAATGTTAAGTGTGATGGGAAGAAAAGCGATCAGCCAGCACTCAGTAAGTATAGTTAGAATTTTTAAATAGTCAATTCTCAATATTCTGGTTCAACGAGAGTATACAATTAAGCAATAAGACTGACGAGTTTATAGGAGTGAGTGAGACCAAAGAATTAGGCAAAACCTGGGCTTCCTTTAGGKGTATTAGGGGGTGGTATGATACCCACTAACTCGCAGAACAACATATAATTCTATGGCTTAATTAACTGCATAAAATCAAGTGTACATATAGTTAGTTTTGAAATGTGCAAGTTTCTCAKTTAGGGTGGGGGTATTATATCTTGGTACGTAGCCATCATCAAATTCAAAAAATTGGACCCCTACTTTGCCCAATTACTTTAGCCATGTACCTAATGGTAGTGACGCGTCAATAGTGTTTGCGGGCTCATTTAGACTGCCCACTAGCTGCGCGATATCCGTTAACTTTTCAGCATCCACGAAACTGCGATTTAGAGCTAATATTTTCAATTAAGAAAAGACTGTTTCTGTATAACTATATAACATTTTTTTAGCTGCTGAGCAAATAATTTTTAGTTTTTCCTTATTTTTGGTTACTACTGATTTGGCTTTTTGTTAATCAAAACTGTGAAAGAAATGGCGTCACTATCCTGTGCTGAGCCCGAGTAAGCGCTCTAATGTCTCCCAGTTTGCAAGACCTTCCACTAATTTTTTTTACTTTCAGTTCAATTTACAGCAAACAATGTCACCGGTGCGACGTCCCCATCGAGGCCGACGATGGAGTTTGCATTTACCCTGCCAAGCAATAACCCCAACAAGGTCTATGTAATAAAAGGTGTAGGAGAAAACCAAGACATAATTGTTGAGGTATTTATCAAAAAATATTAAAGCTTTGAGGCTTGACAGGAGCTTTATCTGGAGAGCAAAATAAGAGGGGGGGGGGGGGGGGGGGGGGGTTGTATATATTTGCTATACGGGTATGTGCCGCAGGATAGGGTCCCTTTTTCGGAGCTCCATGAGTCTGGTAAAGAGTATCATTTTTAGCCCATTTGTCTGGGTTAGGGTAGTAGTTTTGTCTCCGATAGGGTATTTTTTGGTCTAGAGCGGATTTCGTATGACAATTGTGCAAAAGCACGGATAACAACACGGCACGGACACTGCACGGCACGGTCACGGAACCTCGCCTTCTAGGATTTCAAATGAAAGTAAATATTTTCCAATGCATCACGGCTACGGCACGGTACGGACACAGCACGAACGTACCCTGTTTTTCTGCACAGTCATGCGAAATCCTCTCTAGGATAGGGTATAGTCTCGTTGTCTGGGGTAGGGTAGAGTTTTGCCTGCGATCTGCTAGACCACGCWTTCAGCGCTAAAATAATGTACCTTTGTACCTTTAGGCTGTGTAGGGTATGTAAAATCAAAAAAATTGGCCTGGCCGGGATAGTGTAAGGGTTTTGAGAGTCGTGCGGCACATCCACAGACAAGTTGGGGAGGTAGTCCCCCCCCCGGGTTAGCAGTATACCCGAGACCAAGATAGCTACACGGGTCAATTGTCAAATGGCCAAAATTGTACATGATGATCTATACCAGATATCTTTTATCAATACYTTACGCGTTTCTCCTCTACCCCTACCTGCTCGGCTGCACTAGAAGTCAGAGCCGTATAGTTTTACAATGATTTTAGTGGTCGGGGTTTTTTAAGATTAGTCCGGTTTTTGAGCAATAATGTAACTCGTTATGTGTATTTTTACGAGCAATGATGTTTCTTGCGGTACATTTTGGTCCTGTGTTGAACCTAACCAAACCCAACTGTGTCTACGGCCCTTTATTATCCAGTTAGACTCCTGTATACAAGTTTCTACMGCGAGATTCATGAATTTCTTCTCCACTTACWTTTCTCGCGGGATTGAAAACTGAAAAACATCGAGACTGTTGCAATGAATGKTTTAGCTTGTATAGACAAGATCCCGACTGTCCAAGATCCCTCATTATTTTCCAATTTATTTCAGGAAGTCGACAAATCGTTCATTAAACCATCGATGGGTGATGAATATAAATTTGAATGTGAGCAGTCTTTTAGTTACATGCAGTATMRATGCATTGGAGTTGGAGATCCAAAACGCACTGATTTGTACATCTCTGCMCATCAAGATGGCACTGTTCAGCTACAAAAAGCTGGTGTACGTGGCTATCCTACACCTTCCACGCTATTCATTGCAGTAAACATGAATTAGATAAAAAAAAATAAAAMATAAAAACAACAACGTCGGCTTGAATGATTACATTATCACAAACTAAAATCTAAGAGAAGCATAGAACCTCATTAGTTTTCTGAAATACCGAAATGGACTCCGTTTTTTATAAGATTACTTTTTTTCACAAGATAAATATAAGTGCKTTCCACGAAAAACTAGCGGATTCCAATGAAARTCCTTAGAAATATATTTTTCAATAGACCTCCAGAATGACCGCCAAAACTTTGTATACTRACTCAAGAGAACATGACCAATGAAAAAATAAAGYATATGGTATATATGCTTCACTTAGAAACACCTAATAAACATTGTAATGGCAAAACCCTGGCTGAGGCCTATAATTAAAAAACAGAAAACAAATAAGCAAATAATACCAAAATAGAAAAAAAAAAAAGAATAAGTCGAATGAAGAAATAAAATGAATAAATAAATTGAATTGAATTGAATTGAAAATTTATGGGTTTTCATTTTAACTTATATTACCGTTTACATAGAGCTTTTAAAGAAATCAAATACTTACATTTTGTTCCAGGTCAGGAGACATCTTTCCCAGGTAAAAAAATACATGCATCAGGCTGAGGAGTTTTGTCGTTCGTTTAATTAATAGACACATGTGAGCTCGAGCCAAATAAAACACACGGATCCCGCACGAACAACATACTATACACTTAAAACCCCTTCGCTGCCAATGCACTTTGTACACAGTGTGCCACACTAAAATATGTCAAATTGATTGAACTTCGGAAATATTTTTTYTCAGCTACAGTCATTCTCTCTAACATAAACAATGTATATATTTCTGTGAAGCTAAGAAATCTGTCTTTCTAATGAACATGGAATGAAGTGTGTTTTTGTAATTCTATGTTATTTTGACGTCATAATCGTGGGAAAATTATGATTTTACAGGGTCGCATTTAGAAAAAAACTTATTTCCTCTCCAGAATCATTCCATAGTTGATCCAATGCTTATTGAGCAGTAAAGTGAGCCATTATTTACTAAATCGTTTGAAATTACTAAGTTTTAGCTCGTAAAAAAGTCATATTTCCACCTAACAAATCGAAGACGACAAGATGGCGGCCATCTTGGAATGAAAATGCATTTAATTTATTCATACACGCTCCAWWGGCTYAYGCACGTAATTCACATACTAGTGACCAGTCTCTCAAGAAACACAGTTGATTTCGATATGCCGGAATCAAGTGCCAACGATGTGCCGAAGATTTAACTAAAACACTGCAAATTTGGACGTACTGACTACGGCATATAGGCACATGRTATACAGTTTTTATGACGTACTCAGTACGTCATATACGGCACTTAAGGGGTTAATGAGTGTTCCCAATGGAAACGGTTAGTTTTGTTTCCCGAGAATCTCAATGTTTCCCGAGGTACGCCGAGGGAACAGTCATTAAGTGCTTTGTTATATTGGTAAATTATGTGAATAAAAAAATCAAATCAGTCAACACTTGATTTTAGCTCCGGACACGTGACACCGAATCGTCCAATAAGAGAGCGAGAAAACAGTGAAAATAATTTACCAATATAACAA